TAGATTTGGAGATGAAAGATTCTGTTAGCACTCTCATAATTAGCTCAGGGAAGTCATTTAAGCTGTTTGTGCTTTAGGTTTCCTCATATTACTATTGGGTAATAGTAATGCCTAGTTACTAGTCGCTCAGTTATTGTGAGAATCAGTTGAGATATTTTATAGAAAAGTAATTTGAAAACTTAAAGCACTGCAAGCATGAGAAGTAGAGAAGAAATGCAATGTAATCTGGCAGAAAGAACATGTCATTTGGCCTTAGATGAGATTTTAAGTCCAGACTCCACCACTAATTATTTGACTGCCATGACTTAACTCCTGCAAGCCAGTTTCTTCACCTGTCAAGGGAAAATAATAACACTTTGGCAGCTTTGAGTAATGTGAAGGTTAGATGGAATTCAGGCAGTGTTCCCCTTGGGTTTCATCTGAATGCTTTCAACTGTTACCAGCCAGAGCTTTTGTGCATTGTGTGTGCATACCTTACGCCCCATTTTCTATGACAGCTTCAGTCCCTTGTACTCCAGGGACAGCACACCTCTTCTCTCAGGCTGAGGAGATAGCAAGTGGAGGGCACTAGAGGAAGGTCACAGGCTTCCCTGACCTGTGACCCCAGCCAACCTGGTATGCCTTGGGGTGGGGGTGAGGCAGAGTGTCAGTCTGGTGTAAGAGCACATTCCTGGGGCAGCTGTTTCTGCTGCAGCTACTTGTGCTGTTTCTTTTTGAAACATTGTGTTGGAGTTAAAATATACATGCCAAAAAAGGCACAGAGCCTAAGTGTAGTGATCACATTTTACAAACTGAACACACCCATGTAACCAGATCATCCATTCTCATTGCTGCCTGATAGTCCATTTAGTGAATGTTTCACATTTCGTTTTTCCATCCTCCTGTTGATGGGCGTTTACCTAGCTTCCAGTTTAGGGCTGTGGCAAACAGTGCTGATGTGAATGTTCTTACCCGTGTCTTTTGATGAGTATATGTATTTCTCATGGATATTCTTAGCAGTGGAATTGCCGGATCCCAGTGTGTACATATGTTTGGTTTTAGTAGATACTAACCCAAAAGTTTCCCATTATGGTTCCACCAGTTCATACTCCCAGCAGCAGTGTTTCAGAGTTCTGATTGCTCCACAGCCTTACCAGCACTCAGTATTATCTGTCCTTTTAATTTTAGGAATTCTGGTGGATTTTATAATATTGTGTGGCATTTTAGAAATAGAACCATTCCCTCAGCCCCAAAACCTGTAACCCTAAACTTTGACATAATCCTTTTTTTTTTTTTTAGGAATGTACTCTATACAAAATCAGGGGATTCTATCAGATATATAGGTCCTTTTCCAGTGGTTGGTATATGGAAGGAAGATGGCAAATGATAGCTGCTGTTTATTTTTATTATTGTTATTATTATTATTATTATTACTAGTATTGCTATTACCATCATCATCACCATCACTATATGCCTTCTCTGTTTGTCAGGAGAGAGTAGGGTGTGGTATATACGACATTAAAATAAGACATAGTCTTTGCCCAAGAGTAGTTCAAGATCTCATTGAAGAGACCAACATTGGAAACAAGTTTACTGTTAGGCCATATGATAGGAGCTTGGAGAAGGAGGTGGTGCTTGAGCTACAACTTGAAGAATAAGTCGGAGTTCTACAAAAAGAAATGAAGGCATTGAGCTGGAGGAAATGGCAGGGCACACTGCGCGAGGAGGGCAGTGGCAGAGGTGACAGCGCGCGGGAGGACAGGAGTCCATCTGAGGCCGCAGCCTTCCCAAGCTGGTCTCTAGTGTTTGGATGTGGGGGTTGAGCTGACAGCTGTTGGGGGCTTTGGTGTGAAGTTACAGTACTCGAATGCTGTGTTCTCTGCTCCCACCTTTTACCTCTTCCTCCTCCGAGAAAGTGGTTTGCCTCCTCAGTCTCCTGGAAACAGAGCCTGCCCCGAGTATGAAGTGCTTGGACACCGTTGAAGTGCTTCAAGCACCGTTGAAGCTTGGACAGCTGCAAAATATCAGTGATGAGAAGCTATTTATTGAGCTATTTATTTGTATGCTAAGGCCTAGCTTGGAGTTTTTGTTCTTACATTGGTCCAGTTTGCTCTGTGGTGGTAAAGTTTAAGAAAATACTCTTCTGCCCAATCCCATATGGAGACAGTTAATAAATGTTCTTGAGAAATTTTGATGCTGCTGCTGAAGATGACTGTCAGCAATTCATACACTCTTTCATTGACTGTGTTAGACATTGCTCCTTAGCACTCAGGAAGATGGTCCCTGTCATCATTGAATTTATAATGTAGTGGGGAACCAGACAAGTCCACAGTTGGTTCCACCACAGTGTGATAAGGGCTAGAGGTAGAGTGCGATGGGAGCACACCAGAGAAGCACCTGGCCCAGACGGGGGGTTGGGAGGGCAACATGGGAAATGTGGCAGACACCCGATAGCCTTGTGGAGGAGTGTGGGGAGGGCGCATTCCAGGTGGAGGAGACCATGTGTAGGAGGAGCTGAACACAAGGAAGAATAGCTGGTCGGAGAAAGTAGAAGATACAATCCACCCAGAGCACAGAGTGTCTGGAGAGGAGAGGGATTTCCACCAAAGGACTGGCAGCAGGGTGGAAGACGGAGTGAAGGAGATCAAGACTGGAGGCAGAAAAAGCAGTTGTAATAATCAAGGCTTAAAAGACAACTAACCAGCATTCTCAGTACAGTGACTTTCAAAATTCCATGTTCCCTCAATTCTCACCCCAAACACCCTGGCTTCTTTAGAGCCCAATACAGCTTTTGAAAGAGTGAAGAAAAATGCTATTAGAAGTGTTATGGGGGCAGGGGACAGCTTTTTTCTATCATCCATATTGATGGACCTTTAAAGTTGTGGTCCCTGCTGTAACCATACAAATTTTTTTGCCAGGAATAAACCTGTGTGAGGTATGTTTTCCAGTTTCTGTACATGAAGCAGGAGCCACTCTGGCCTCTGGCTGGGCGCTATGTTTGTGCTTCTAGAAGGGGACTGAAGAGCTCACAGGGCAGGTGGTTGAACAGTTTCTCACTGAGTTTGGCCCACCGTGCATTCCAACAGCCTTGCTTCCTGCTTGAATTCCCAGGCCACACACACACAAACAAGATTACTGGGGGCGGGGGGGGTGTTATCTTCTTTTTCTTTTTCTCACTCTCTTAGTAATCTTCTACAAACACTGGGTACCAGGCATCTCCTACATGAATCCTGAAGTCTGGAAATGGGATTTCTACCAATTTTCACAAAATACAAGTACGACTCAGTAGTTTAGATGTGATTGGACTTCTTGGGCTTGTGTTTACCTGGTTATATGAAAGATATTTTACTTTAAAAAAAACTATCATATGAGAATTGCTCTTACAGTGAAGTAGATACCTGTTGTCTTTTATTAAGAAACACCACGCACCATCACGTGCCTGCTCTGTACAGTGCTAGTTGTGTGGGAGAGTTTCCAAAAGGTGAGGCATGGTCCCTGCTTTGGGAGACATCACCTAACGCAGAGTGGACATGCAGAATAAAAGCACTCAGGCCACCGCTCTCCATTCTGTTATTCCAGGAGGGACACCAGTAGTCAGTCACAGTCCTGCTTCCCACCAAAGCCAGAGTTAGCCCCAGAATCTTCTTCATCACGGCACTCAGGGCAACTGTTGCACACAGAGATAGAAACCTGTCTCGCAGCCTTTATTTAAAAAACACTTTGCCAGAACCTTAGGCACGCTCCTTGCTTTTTATCTTTTCGTTTTTTGTTAGTTTTATCAATCATTTTATATATGACTATTGGAACCTGAGAACCTCCTAAGAGAGCAGAATGTGGTACTGTTGCTTTTCAGGAAGCTGAAATGTCCTCATTCAGGAGGATTACATTAGTTTCCCACCCATGATGACAGAAGCCCATTCCCTTTACTTGCCACTGGAGGCATTGTGTTTTTCTTGGTTAGTTTCAGAGTGACTGCCCTTGCGCTGTGTTACAAGTAGTTTCATGGCAGTGAAGCTGCCAGCTGTTGGTGAATGGCACCCACATTTTTTAGTGTCCTAGCACCAAGATTCTCTTCAAAGCTGGGGTCATCAGTTTTGGCAGACATCAAAGGTCTCATTAGTTCTAACTTACTATCATCACTGATCATTCCATGCCCACCGATGTCTTTGGCCCTCTTCTCATTCCACGTTTTCCATCAGCGCTACATCAGGGGCCAGAGTTTGAGCTACCTGTATGGGTAAATGCCAAGTATTTAGACTAAGACTCCTCTTACACTCTAGACCCTTAATTTCACCCATCTGTGGGGCATTTCCACCACAGTGGTGAGAGCTAACACAAAGAGCTAACAAATACCTGTGGCCATACATTGTACTTAGAGCTTTACAATCATGTCTTAATTTAAGCTTTCCAACAACCCTTTTAGAAGTCATCATCCCCATGCTACAGATGAAAAATACCAGACTTGGAGAATCACACCATTTCTAAGTGGCAGGTCCGGGGCTGCGACATGGGCTGTGCAGAGTTTGTTGCAGACTCTTCAATCTTGGCTTGTACAAAATAGAAGTCATCCCACCCCTCTACCTCAAAACTTCTGTCTCAACCTTAAATCAAGCCAGTCCACAACAGACACCATCCTGTTCTCATATCCCTCTTTGAGGTCCAGTAAGTTACAGGTCTTCCAATTCTGTCTCCTAAAAAAGGTAGCTCTCAAATTTCTACTTCCTGCTTTCTACTCTAACCACCATAGACCTGGTGAAGACTACCATTATTTCTTACCTTGAAGGTAGTCTATTTCCTACCCATTTTTTTTCTCCTCTTGGGCTAGGAGAAAAAAAAAAGCTACTATAAGAAATCACCATTTTTCTCAGTGATGTTCCTTTTAGTCAATTTTTTTTCTACCATACCTGTCTTGGATAAAAGGATGAGAAAACTTAATTTGGAACACAGAAGGTTTTTTCCTAAACATTTCATGCTTTCACTTATATCTCTATAATCATGTCTTTCATTTGCTTGTTTTCTAGGAATGTTTACCCTTGCAGAAGTTGCTTCACTTAATGACATCCAGCCAACTTACCGGATCCTGAAGCCATGGTGGGACGTGTTTATGGATTACCTGGCTGTCATTATGCTGATGGTAGCCATCTTCGCAGGAACCATGCAACTTACCAAAGATCAGGTGGTCTGTTTGCCAGTATTGCCATCTCCTGTAAATTCAAAGGCACACACACCACCAGGAAATGCCGACGTTACCACCAACATCCCGAAGATGGAGGCAGCCACTGACCAAGATCAACATGGGCAGGCGACAAATGACATTTCCTTTGACACATCTGCTGTGACACCTGACATACCTCTCAGAGCCACATATCCTCACCCAGATTCCACAGTTACAAATCAGGAGGCAAAGAAAGAGAAGAAGGATCCAACAGGCCGAAAAACAAACTTGGATTTTCAGCAATATGTATTTATTAATCAGATGTGTTACCATCTGGCCCTTCCGTGGTATTCTAAGTACTTTCCATACCTTGCTCTTATACATACTATTATTCTTATGGTCAGTAGCAACTTTTGGTTCAAATATCCCAAAACATGCTCAAAAGTAGAACATTTTGTTTCAATATTAGGAAAGTGCTTCGAATCTCCTTGGACTACGAAAGCGTTGTCTGAGACAGCGTGTGAAGACTCGGAGGAAAACAAGCAGAGAATAACAGGTGCCCAGACTCTACCAAAGCACGTGTCTACCAGCAGTGATGAAGGGAGCCCCAGCGCCAGTACCCCAATGATCAACAAAAGTGGCTTTAAATTTTCAGCTGAGAAGCCCGTGGTTGAAGTTCCCAGCATGACCATCCTGGATAAAAAGGACGGAGAACAGGCCAAAGCCCTGTTTGAGAAAGTGAGGAAGTTCCGTGCCCATGTGGAAGACAGTGACTTAATCTATAAACTCTATGTGGTCCAAACAGTTGTCAAAACTGCCAAGTTCATTTTTATCCTCTGCTATACGGCAAACTTCGTCAACGCAATCAGCTTTGAACATGTCTGTAAGCCAAAAGTCGAGCACCTGACCGGTTATGAAGTGTTTGAGTGCACCCATAACATGGCTTATATGCTGAAAAAGCTTCTCATCAGTTACATATCCATTATTTGCGTGTACGGTTTTATCTGCCTCTACACTCTCTTCTGGTTGTTCAGGATACCTTTGAAGGAATATTCTTTTGAAAAGGTCAGAGAAGAGAGCAGTTTCAGTGACATTCCAGATGTCAAAAACGATTTTGCGTTCCTTCTACACATGGTAGACCAGTATGACCAGCTATATTCCAAGCGTTTTGGTGTGTTTTTGTCAGAAGTCAGTGAAAATAAACTTAGGGAAATTAGTTTGAACCATGAGTGGACATTTGAAAAACTCAGGCAGCACGTGTCACGCAACACCCAGGACAAGCAGGAGCTGCATCTGTTCATGCTGTCGGGTGTGCCCGATGCTGTCTTTGACCTCACAGACCTGGATGTGCTAAAACTTGAACTGATTCCAGAGGCTAAAATTCCTGCTAAGATTTCTCAGATGACTAATCTCCAAGAGCTTCACCTCTGCCACTGCCCTGCAAAAGTTGAACAGACTGCTTTTAGCTTTCTCCGAGATCACTTGAGATGCCTTCACGTGAAGTTCACCGATGTGGCTGAAATTCCTGCCTGGGTCTATTTGCTCAAAAACCTTCGAGAGCTGTACTTGATAGGCAATTTGAACTCTGAAAACAATAAGATGATAGGACTTGAATCTCTCCGAGAGTTGCGGCACCTTAAGATTCTCCACGTGAAGAGCAATTTGACCAAAGTCCCCTCCAACATTACAGATGTGGCGCCACATCTGACAAAGTTAGTCATTCATAATGACGGCACTAAACTCTTGGTACTGAACAGCCTTAAGAAAATGATGAATGTCGCCGAGCTCGAGCTCCAGAACTGTGAGCTAGAGAGAATTCCACATGCAATTTTCAGCCTCTCCAACTTACAGGAACTGGATTTAAAATCAAACAACATACGCACAATTGAAGAAATCATTAGTTTCCAGCATTTAAAACGACTCACTTGTTTAAAATTATGGCATAATAAAATCGTTACCATTCCTCCCTCCATTACCCACGTCAAAAACTTGGAGTCACTTTATTTCTCCAACAACAAGCTCGAATCCTTACCAGTGGCAGTGTTTAGTTTACAGAAACTCAGATGCTTAGATGTAAGCTACAACAACATTTCAATGATTCCAATAGAAATAGGATTGCTTCAGAACCTGCAGCATTTGCATATCACTGGGAACAAAGTAGACATTCTGCCAAAACAATTGTTTAAATGCGTTAAGTTGAGGACTTTGAATCTGGGGCAAAACTGCATCTCCTCCCTCCCAGACAAAATTGGTCAGCTCTCCCAGCTTACCCAGCTGGAGCTGAAGGGCAACTGCTTGGACCGCCTGCCAGCCCAGCTGGGCCAGTGTCGCCTGCTCAAGAAAAGCGGTCTTGTTGTGGAAGATCACCTTTTTGACACCCTGCCACTCGAAGTCAAAGAAGCATTGAATCAAGACATAAATGTTCCCTTTGCAAATGGGATTTAAACTGAGATAATCCGTGCACATCCATGTGCCAGAACAGCTTCCTAGATTGCAAGAGCTCACGTACAAGTTATTGCAAAATAATGCGTTTTAGGAGTAGACACATCTTTAAAAATAAAACACAGAGAGGATGCATAGAAGGCTGATAGAAGACATAACTGAATGTTCAATGTTTGTAGTGTTTTAAGTCATTCATTTCCAAATCATTTTTTTTCTTTTTGGGGAAAGGGAAGCAAAAATTATAATCACTAATCTTGGTTTCTTTTTAAATTGTTTGTAACTTGGATGCTGCCGCTACTGAATGTTTACAAATTGCTTGCCTGCTAAAGTAAATGATTAAATTGACATTTTCTTACTATATCACCTTTTTTGAGGTGTCTTGATTTACTTTGCTTAATTGGTGCAATGTCACTTTAACCCAGACCACTAAAGACAGACACATCATCAGGTCTAAACTTGTAAATTTAGATTTGCTGAAATATTGATTTTTTTCCTGTTTTAATTTAAAGCACCTCAAATAAGCACTTCTTATAATATTTGACTGGTACTGCTCCTTTGAGAATCCCAGTTTATAGATTTTACACTCTTAAAGGTCTAAAATGCAGTAAAGGTGTGTAGTTTTTTGGGGTTTTTGTTTGTTTTTAAAGAATAAACAATGACAAAAATAATAGAAATAGCATTCCTTTTAATAACAGCTGTTTTTCCATCGTCTGGAGTTATGATTATATGGTGCATTTTTCTACTAATAATCTAGGGTTACCAATAAATAGAAAATGTTTTTAAAAAATAAACGTATCTGATTACAACCAACATAAATTTTTTAATGGCTTAATGATTAACAACCTTCCACTATCACCTTTTGAAAGATAACACAAAATCAAAGCAAGTATTATTTAATTTCCTGCCCTGTTTTCACTGCTGGGGAGGGGCGGGAAGGACTTGCAGTTCATTGGAAAACTCCTAACTTTCCCTGTTCATTTTCGTGACAGGCTGTATTTCCTCTGTTTGTCTGCAGTAGGAGGGGTCATGTCCAGGGAAATGCTGGCAGGATGTCCATTTTAGATGATAGTTTTCCTTCTTTATCTAACTTACAGAGTGTGTCTAATTCCATCTCAGAAAATCAGAACATTTTCTGCCACCTGTTTAGATATTGGCTGGCAAGGATTTCATAGGCCTTTCTATGGTATTGTTTTTCCAAGAGAAGCAACGTGTTTGGCACGCTGGATGACAAAGTACAATAGTATTCTCTCTATGTAAGGCTCGGTTCACTGAATGAAACACTGGACATTCTCTTGCCACACCTTATTATGGCTTGAAGGATTTTTCAGAGAATATGAAAAGATGAACTCACATCCTTGCTTTTCTTCCTGAGAACTGAACTCTGGGGGTACTGGCCTGTTGCAAGTGGCAGTGAACCTTTGCCTGCTCTACAGCTTGTAAGTACTCGGAGGATTATCTCCAGTCGAAAAGCCTGCAGCCACTGTGGCTCAGTTAGGAGCTGACCCCAGCTCCAGCATCCTGGCCACTCTCTCTCCTAAAAGATTTGAGGTCAAGGAAAGGATTGGAAAAGCCCACGTTTAGAAAATCAGAAGGGCAAATTGGGGTATAAGCAAATTCTCCCATGTGTATATCTTCCATTTCTATCAGCATTCATTAATATAATGACTGGCAGTGATTGTGCACCTACTGTGTGCCTCTGCACTTCAAGCAACTGCGGATTCCACTTGGCTATGTGGCGCTCTATAGCAAACTGGGGAGATAAAAAAAATGATGTGTCAAACTGTAATACAGAAGGTGTACAGAATCTGTGAAGGAGTTATGGCTGGGATGGGGTCAGACTTACAGAGGACCTTCAGGGAAGTTTTGCAGTTACAGACTCTGCCTATAAACGCTCCTGGCCGTTGCCCTCCCCCCAGCAGCATAGGACACTCTTCGCTCTGCTTAGTAATAATGCCACTACCAGAAACCGGTACAGCATTTTTAGAAGGGTGCCATGTCATCTTGCTTGTGAGACAGAAGAGGCCAGACCTTATGATCCTCACTTTACAAAATAGGAAACTTCTCTTCTTTCTTAAAACAAGTGCATGTTGTTTTGACAGGTACAAGTGGCAGGCACCCCTGCTTGCTTACCTAGCCTTTCAGAGGGCAGGGCTGTAGGAGCTGGAGTCTGCGCGACATTCCCAAAGCCTCAGCACTGTCAGCTGCCTGTGGGCACCTGTTTTTAAATCAGTACTTGGGGTTCAGTCACTTAGAACTGATTGGTGTTACATGCCTTCAAACAATGTCAAGGGTTACCTTTTCTCTTACCCAGACTTCTGTTGACCTTATCAGCCCCTAATGATTTCCTTGAACTTGGAAAAGTTCATGGTCAATTGATTTAAATGCTGCATTCCATGCCACTGTTTGCAAATAGCAATATTTTAAAAGCAGTTTCCTAAGAAATGCTGATTCATCTAACAGACCTTAAATGTGCTGGGTCCCAGAGTCTCAACAAAACAGCAGATTAGATTATGGGCCCAAATATACTATACCCATGCATTTTCACAAGTTTATGTTGGCCCTGCATGCACCAGACATAGGAACACACGTTAGAACGTATGAGTTTTGGCTTATATCTTTCTTCAAAGTCCCTCGAGTACCATCTAAAGAAGAATTACTTTAAAGTATCTTTAAATGTGCTGTGTGGGGGGAGGGTACCATGGTCTGAGAGAATCTAGTTCACTTTTCCTGTTTAACTTTTTTTTTTTCAGCAGCATTCAGTTGGCTCAACAGGAATTTTCAGAGGTTCAGATAGATGAGATGATTACCCCATTCTCTCTCAGTAGTGGTGATACAATAGGTAGAAAGAACTTCTTCTGTATAAGCCCTGGCCTGAAAGTCTTGACCATTTGACATTTTTCATAAATAAAGAAAAAAGTCATGTTTTATTAAAATTGCTAGTACTTTCTGACTACCTCCCCTGGACTCTATTTCAACCAGCAAGTAAACTCCAAGTTGCTGATGGCAGCAGATGCCAAAGTGCCCTTGAGACCTACGCCCGATAGCTGTTTCCATTCACCTTGCTGAATGAAAGCCAGAGTGTTGTCCTCTCCCTAAGATTTCTGGCACCACTTGCGTCAGTAATTCATTCCGATAAAATGGCCCCTTTATCAACAGAATCCCCAAACAAAGGCTGTGCTAACAAAAAGCCCCTTTCATGAAAAGAAGAAGGGGGGTAAAGAAACCCTGGAAGACAGTTTTCAAATGTCCTCTAACTTGTGACTGTGACACAAAGAAGTGGCCCCTTCTGGTCCCAGCCAGCTGTGCTCTCCTAGGACAAGTTCACCAGGTGCTCGCAGTGGTGTCTGCCATGGGGGAGGGGGCAGAAGAACGGCAGGCCGCGGGGCAGAAGAACGGCAGGCCGCAGAGCAGTGCCTCAGGCCTGGCCCAGCCTGGGCTGCCAGGCTGCCAGTGTGGGGGAGGAGCCCCCTGGCTCACAAGTCTTAAAACTCCAAAGAAGAGTAGCTTTCCTGTCTTCATCCTTCTGTCGCTGAAAATACAATGTATAAATTGTCCCAGGTAAGGCATTGTTGTGAAATGCACAAGATTTTCTGCTTAGTCAATCCTGCGGGCTTTGTCTCATAGATTGATGGTCCACTATTCTACTTATGTGGGGCTCTCGCTGGTACAGATTGCCTGCTTGTCTCTATCTGTCCTTTCTTCATTCCGAAGAGTCCAGGCTGTGGAGCAAGACTGCCTAGATTTGAATCCTGCTTCTGCCTCAGCTGTATGACCAAAACGAGCTACTTCTCTAAGCCTGTTTCCTCTGTAAATGGGAATAATAATAGTGTTCTACCAATGGTGTGTTTTGGGAAGATTGAATGAGGTGATTTGTTGAAGTTGCTGTGCGCGGCAGTACACATTCCACATTCCACTATTACATTTTTTACCCTCAATTGTGTCAGAGACTCATGTCTTTGCCTGATAGGCATTCTCTCTCAATGGACACTCAGGAACAGGGATTAAAATGCGAATAAAATAAAACATTACTCGGGGCTGGGTGTGGTCACGTGACTACATTCTAGCCAGAAGACTGGGAATAGAAGTGGAATGTGTAATTTCTGGATCTGGACCTTAAAGGCAAGGATGTGCCACCTGCTGCTCCATTCCTGCTCGTTAAACTGCAGATGGAGAAATGAATCCAGTCTAGACCATCCAGGCCAGGCACAGCCCAGCAGCAAAACAGAAGCCCAGCTCCCGACAACCTAAAGGAGCAAGGTTACATAAAATGGGAATAAACTCTTGTCTAAGCCTTTATTGGTGTGGGGGCCCTGGCGCATGTGGCAAGTGCTAGAGATCTTGCTTCCCAAACTGCACTGCGGGGACAATGCCTGGAAGTTTCTTAGAAATGGAGCATCTTATATCCCTCCCCAGAACTGTATCCTAACAAGATGATATCCAGGTAATTTACAGACAAGTTAAACTTTGAGAAGCATTGTTCTATAGAACGTAACTATCAAATCAGCTGGTCATCATCAGGAGCTGGAAAGAGGGTGCTGCTGTTGGCCAGTTTTTTCACCACAATTGGGATCTGCCATCAGCCTCTGGCAGGGCTCCAGTTGGTGAGGAATTGGGGTCTTGCTGGTTCTTGTGGCTTATACCAATGTCCATGTCCCTCTACCCCGTTTGCTCCTGCTGGTAACCATACTAACACCATAGCAAGCACAGGAAGGAGGGGTGATAGTCAAACTGCCAGTGTCCACTGCTTGAAGAGGGGGTAGTCATTCACAGGGATCCGGCAGAAGTAACACCTGCCTGAGTGTGGTTGGGAGGGTAATAATATGGGTGTAATAATTTATAGTCTTAATTTGAACATTTCACCTAGAATGTCACATGGTGTGCTTGAGTGTGATATTGTGGTGTTACAGAATTCCATGCTTACGATTTTGTAATAAAAGATTTCACAACAGCAAAATGGAGAACATTATGCTAAGTGAAATAAGCCAGGCAATGAAAGACAAATGCTGTATGATCTCACCTATAAGTGGAACCTAATCAACAAAACAAGCAAGTAAAAGGGCCAACAAGGAACATGTATAAAGGACACATGGACAAAGCCAAAGCAGGTAGGTTCGAGGGTGGGAGGTGGGGATGTGTGGGGCCGGGGGCTGAGGCGGGGTAAAAAGAGACAACTGTACTTGAACAACAATTAAAAATAATAATAGTAAATTTTATAATAAAAAGGGGTGTTATTTGTGCTGGACCCTGCACATCATTCTCCTGGGAGCCTGAGGTTTTGAAGGTCCTGTAACTGACCTAGTGACTCACTCGTGCTCGGCCAGCAGACACCCTTCACAAGCCTGGGTAACTAAACAACCCCA